ACCATTGGCAGCTAAACTGATTCGTGTGTTTAATAATTATAGCTATTAGTACAGGCCTCCTTTGAAGACATTATTAATGATGCATTTTTTGCTTCTAGTCAATTTTAAAGTGTTTGTCCTGTGTGTGTGTGTGTGCATTGCTACAGTATTTCCACCCTGGACTGAGAAATAAAATACTGCAAGGTAGGGAATAATCAGTTTCCTCACTAGAGACATAAATGCCTTATCGTTCCTTAAATGGCATAAATACGGGAAGAGAAGAATGTGTAATGACAGTAAATTACAATAAAGTTTTAATTTTATTTCCCATTTTAGAGATTGTACGTGTGATTGGTGTCCTCAGTTTGCAGATAATAAGGAAATAATAGGAAATCTTCCATTTTCTTTTTGTGTAGAACTCTTTTATGTCAAGGGGGGGTGGATTTGGAAATGCAATTTCTCCTTAAGAATCTTTGACTTTTCCTGTCAAAGCAAGTTCATTTTATGCATGTAATTTTCTGTTCATCCAAAACACAGTTCCTTTATCAGTTACATCAGTAATAATGCTTACTTAGAAGTTTAGACCTGATTTAGGATTCAGAAAGTGATGGCTTGCCTTTTATTTCTCTCATGTTCATCATGAATATTCTTCAGGTATAATCTCCAGCTAAAACAGTTTTAGGAAAGGCGCAGGCACGTTTTCTTCCAGGAACTCCATAGAGAGCTTTTTTATGCCTTGTAGGTTTGCTTCTCTAGTGCTGAGAATACCAGCCTTGAAAAAGGACCTGACTTTTCTAAGCAAGTACCATATGTAGAACTTTATTATTTCAGACCTGTGGACTGTTCCACATCAGCACTGGCTACATCCTTTATAAACTGTTCTTTTGCTTGATAACTGAGTTTTAGTTACATGGTGAAAGGATATAAAATTAAAAAAAAAAAAAAAAAAAAAAATAAAAAAAAAAAAAAAAAAAAGAATATGTGACAGCATTAGTTGGTATCTCTGTTTCTGAACATTACGCAGTTAAAAGCTTTAGGAACCTTAAAAATCAAATTAAAAGCACTGTAAGTCATGAAAAATCTGTTTATTTCCTATAAAATATGCATCTTAATAGCTGCCACTGACTTGTCAAAAGCAATTGTAAATTCATTTTGTGAAATGAGAAGATTTAGTGCATGAATTAAAAGCTTTAGGAACCTTAAAAATCAAATTAAAAGCACTGTAAGTCATGAAAAATCTGTTTATTTCCTATAAAATATGCATCTTAATAGCTGCCACTGACTTGTCAAAAGCAATTGTAAATTCATTTTGTGAAATGAGAAGATTTAGTGCATGAACAGAATGTACAGAGCTGCTATACTGTGCTACAGTTGTCCAGGTTTTTTTAATCAAAACCCATTTTCCACTAATTGGAAAAGAGCTCATGAAGTCTGCATTCCATTTTTTTGTGCTTTATATGTAAAATTTACTGAGGAAAAACAAAATAACTGTGTTTATGTTTTTGTGCTTTATCTGTAAAATTTTCTGAGGAAAAACAAAATAACTGTATTTATGTACAACAGTAACTTTTTTAAAGTATCACTTGCTTTAAACAAAAAGTGTGTACAGTGACATGGAAATACAGTTTTTGTATTAATATATATATATATTATTTTCCATTGAAAAGTAAATATTGCTGTATGGTTTGGTAATCATTGTGAAAATCTGTTGCCAAAACTCTAGTGTGGCTAAAAAACAAGTTTTGAAATTGACAGTAAACTGTCCAAATCTGTTCCCAGTGCATAGAAGCTACATATTGTGCTGGGGCACGTGCTGGGATCTATAGTCTTTGAATCCTTGCATGGAGCAGAGGATGAAGGTGCAATGTACATGTGTTACAGCTGTTCTACAAAATGGTTTTAGGAGTCATGTGTCTTGAACAACTCCTAATTATTAGGGAATTCTCAAACATGAATGCTTTTGTTGATGACTTGGTTTTAGCAAAAGCAGTGTTCTCTTTGCTGTAGACCTCATGAAGCTAACTTGAGGAAGCTTCCTTTTGTCTGTGTTGTAGAAGGGGACAGGCTACCTCTTGCACTCAGATGCTGATTTTTGCTGAAACCACTTGTGAATCCAGAGTTGCAATGTCCAAAAATTCTGCACAGTC